AAAAATTAAAATTTTATTTTTAATTTTATTTAAATAAAAGATAAATATAACATAAATTTTAATCATAAAATTTAAAATATTTGATATTTTATCTTTAATTGAAGTATTTTTGGTCTAACTATGACATTTTAAATTTAAGGGGTCTAAGTATTATATACCTATAAACTTTAAACGAGTCTAAGCGTAATTTATTAATGGATATATTTACAGCAGAGATTTAAGTGTTACATGCGTACAAACCTCTGGGGTCTGTGTATAATATTTTAAATGTCAGGAGGTTTAAGTAATTAAGTGTCAAATCTCAGGAGGTCTAGGTATAATTTTTCCTAAAATTTATGATTTAATTAAATTGGAATGGACTCAAAGAATTTGTTTGGATGAATTTTGAAAAGGAGTTTGGAGTAACTTTTCTAAACTCAAACCCTTATTTGCAAAAATGAGATTCAATATTCAATCCAATTAATACTCATGTTTGGTATACAACACATATACATGTAGGACTCACGGATATATCATAATTATTAACAAATATTTATCTTTTAAATGACTATTTTACCTTTGATCAATTAAATTCATATACATGTTAAGGGGTACAATTATCTTTTAGATCATTAACTCCTTACCTATTTTTCCAAACTCACCATTCCCCTAGGTTTGATGAAATTTGTGATCATGGTTTAACCTTTGGGTCAGCTACGGACCAGGTTTGAAAACTCGAGATTAAAATTTTCAAACAATCATGAGATTTGAAGAAATTTTGGATTATATTCTCAAAACTCATCTCGTCAAACTCCTCGTACCTCCTCACCAAACAGCCTCTGAAATTAGATTAAAATCTCTGCAATCCTAGCTACAACCTTGAAAAAAAAACTCAGTTAATTTCGATTATCTTAATTTAAAATTATTTTTCATTTTTCCTAAATTTTAATCACCAAACTTTAAACCACCAAACCCCACCCATGGATCCCCTCATGAACGGTGGAGATTGAAATTAAATAGAATTTGATAAATTTAAAAACGATGGCATTACAGTAATTTCACAAAAAACAAACTCATAAAAAGTCGGCACCAGCAAGTAGCAACATCACTTGTCATTGAAGAGAAAAAAAGCTAGAAAATGTCCGACTCCTCCCAAGATCCTTGTTCTTCTCTCTCTTCTCTCGCCACCCTCCTCAATTCCCTCAAGATCTTCCCGAGAAACTATCAACTTTTCCTTTCCATTTTTGCCCTTGCCACCTTCCCTCTCTCTCTCCTCCTCTTCTGTCTCTCTTTCCTCTCCCACCCCACTAAGTCCCGCGTCCACCACCTCGAGGCCTTGGCCCTATTGACACCGACCCGTTTCGAGGCACGCCACGTCTGGAAGGAGTCACGTGCCGAAGCTCTCTCTCTCCTCCGTCTCAAGGCTCTTTTCTTCTTCCCATGCTACGCTTTCTCTCTCCTCACCGCCATAACCGTCGTTATCTCCACATACCACTCTTGCCCTGGCAAAACACCCACTTTGCAAACGGCGGTAACAGCCGTGAAAATCACCTGGAAAAGGCCACTGGTCACCACCCTATGCATTTACGTTGTCACCCTAACGTGTGGTGAAGTTCCGGGCACGTTAGCGGCTCAGATTAGCAACCCGATTCTCAAGCTCATCGTTATAATTATCGGGTCGGGCCTCGAAGTGTACACGATGGCAGTTACCAGTCTGGCATTGGCGGTTTCGATTACTGAAGAGCAATTCGGGTTTGATGCTATAAGATTCGGAAATGTCGTTCATTTGTGGAACTTGTTTGTACAAATTGTCGTTCATTTGTGGAACTTGGACTGAAATATAAGATTCGGAAATGACCTTTTTTTTTGTGCTTTTTTGACACATGGACGGCTATGTTGCAGAGCATGCAGCTTTACTGATCTCACTTTAGCCTTGTAGATATTCACCCCTCCTTCATAAGATTATATCTGTATATCAAGCAAGTTAAAATTTTGATATTTTTTTAAAATTAAGTTATGAAAGATTTATTTATTATGAATATTTTAATCTCGTCTGGCCTTCGATTAAACTAAAGAAAAAATTAATCAAAGTGCACATTAATTAGTCCAAACACTCTGATCATTGAACCAAAAAAATAAAATTATATGGCTGAAATTGGTTATGGCAGATTGATTCCTACACTTTCATTTTTTGTCTAATAAAATAACATGTGTGTTGTTTATTTAATAAATTTATTTTACTTTTTATTTTTTCAATCATTGAATTTAAATACATATGACTGCAAATTAATTTGATATAATACACAAAAAAAAAAGAGATAAAATTGATTTTTAACTCGGATAACAATTCATTGTCTCACATGTCATAGAAAATGAAAAATGACTAATTGGGTCAGACCCCATTAGGTAGGTCACTTAAACAGTTTTTAACCCTAATTATGATCTTTGTTGATGATATCGATACGAATTGATGAAGTTGTGTGAAATATGCTAAAAATAATATATGTTTTATATGAACCACAAGCATTACTTGATTTTTGGTTGGCATGGAGATATTTTGATCGACTCATCTAAATTGTCTGAATCATCTTTATTAAAATTGCAGCATGTGACTGGAATACCTTGCCATGATCAGCTTTTTCTTTTATTTATTTCTTGTGTTTATCGCTTGATAAGGGCCGTTCGATTGATTAGATATGGGGCAGGTCATGGGCTTGGCCCTAAGTCCAACTTCAAGTTGGCCCATTATTTGGTGGGAATTCAAGGTCGTATCAGGCCCTTAAATAAGCATGTATTTTTTTATGAATTTTTTCGTGCCCGTGGCTTTGTAATGATCTTTTAAGTCATAGGATTCAAACATTTATCCTTTGTAGTGATTTTTTTTATCTACGGATTGGAACAAAAAAAAAAAAAAATAGGAACAATGCAAAGGCCAGTCTTGGTTCAATATGAATATGACTGATTAGAGTTGACACAAGCAACTATAGATAATGGGCTTCTACGCCCAAATCTAATTCTCAATAAAGGCTTCCAAGTTCCAGCAAATCAACTTGAAATTGACTGCTACAAAGCTCACTGCCTGGGGGGAGGAAATTGTTTTGTTGATTATAACACTGTATGTTGTAAAATTACTAAATTAATTGAATATAAAATAATTATTAACATAAAACTAAATGAGAGAAATTTTAGAGAATGCTCCAAGATTCTCTTTCTTTCAATTTTTCTACACACCCTTCGATTCATATCTGAATCCCTTTTTTTTTTTAAGTATCTGAATCCCTTGTATAGGGAAAAATACAATGACATTTGGTATATGTGGGAGGTTAGATGACATGGGTATTAATGGTGGTGGGTGTGGTGTGATCATCCACCACATGCTATGTTTACAACATTCCATTTAATTCATCGCCAACAAAAGTATTATTTTTTGATTTAATGTCAACTTTTATGTATTTATGAATTACGTTTTACTGGTGAAATTTACCTCAGTAAAATCATTTTTTGCGTAGTGACCCTTCAATTTTAGACACCATCATCATCACTTTCTTCTACTCTATAATTTGTATATAAATGAAAGATTTGCTCAACCTATCAATTAAATCTTATACATGAAGGTAGCCATTGAAAGTTTGAAGCGTGGTGGATTAGCTTTCATAAAAAAATTCCTAAATTCGTACGCACATCATCTCTAACATCACCCTAGGCACCAAATTTACCCGTTCAATACTTGTGGTCAACCCTAAAATCTGAATCAAATACGTTGCCTAATAAGAGGATTGGATTGCAGTCTCGTTTTAGGTCGAGAATCTTAATTTGTTTACAACATTAACAAAGCAACCATATATTGAAGATATGCATGATTTACCTATTCACATTGTTATATATCAAGTTGAGATTAGCCACGACTCTTGAAAAGCAAAACTGATAATTAATGGTATAACCAAAAGGTCCTACATCATACTGAAATAGATCGAAGAGGAAGAGTCTTTGATCAAGTTTGCTTACCTTGGTAGGCCCATCTCCTAAAGGGACGTTTTTCTAGTTTCTTAGACTCTGTCTATTTTGTGTACCTAATCTCTCGGACGGTGAAAATTTTATTTGTTTTAAACTTTAAGCTTTCTCTGTCATGATTTGATCCATGAAACTATTTTACTTACCGAAAAAAATAATGATCGCTGTGACAACATACTCCATGTCTAATAGTTTATGGAGCAACCCCCTAAATATTGCTTAGGTCAGTAGGTAGGTACCTGAAAAATCAAGCAATAATCTAGTTTCCAGGAAACCTCATATGGGTTGCCTTGACTTTTCATTCACCAGGATTTGGACAAAAATTTTAATTTACCTATTTTGTCACTTCGTCTTTCCAGATTATTTTACGGTTGAGAGGAGAGAGAAAAATAAGGATAAAGAATAAGTGGTTAAAAGAATATGTTAAGACGTAAGTGTAGACGTTGCTAGCGGCCGGTCCTAACACTAAAACACATATAGGAATTCAGTAAAATGTTACAATACAATTTTTTAATGAAACAACACATCAAAATGATTTTAATACCATTATATTTATTGTCTATCATCTCCATAAAATAAACCAATCTCTCTCTCTCTCTCTCTCTGACTTTTCTGTGCACTAAATAGATTTAATTTGTATAAAATTTTTTAAAATAAGAAGACTACAAATTAGAAAAAATATGAAAGATAATACATGATTTGATATGAAATTGTTAACTCCGTCAGTTGTTATATTTTAGTTCAAAAATAGACGAGGCTCTGTGCACATTTTTATATGTACATTTTTAAAGTATAAGGAGATCAAATCACATAGAGATAATCTACAATTTTGGCTTTCTTTAATTCGATTGAGAAGAAAAAGTCATTGAAACCAGCCAAAATATACAAGTGCATTAATTTAAAACACTCTGGTTTCTTAGAACTTAGCTTCCTAGTGTGAAAGTGGGAATTGACTGATTCAAATTAAGATGCCTGGTAGAACTAATATATATATATACTTGATGTTTTCCATGAGCAAAGCAATTGAGAGGTTCTCAAAAGCTCTAAACCTTGAAAGATCAGCCATGGAATTTTATGAAATTTTCAGTTTTGTAGGAATTCTGAGGGAATCCATCAAACTCCTACCTAAAAATGGGAAGCTCATGGTCTTCATAACCACACTCGCTCTCCTCCTCTACACGCTTTTCTTCTTCTTGAACATCTCCTCTATCAAACCCTTGATCTTTGATTTGGTTGAGATAACCACCCGTGGCGGTGGCGCGAATCCGGTCACAATGATGGCTCATATCAAAGAGGATCTCGGAATCCTCCTCGTAGTCGAATCTATTTTCCTTTTTGCTTCCTTAGTTCTCTCATTATTCGCAACAACCGCAGTCATTTTCATCTCAGCCTTATCTTACTGCAACAAGACCTTATCAATCAAGGACTTGGTCTTGAAGGTGTCAAAATCATGGACAAGGCCATTTATTACTGGATTATACACTATCCTTCTTGGAATGGGATACCTTTCAGTTTTGATGTGCACAATGTTTATGATATCGATGTTTTCTAATAATCCTATCGCCTCTAAAGCAATTGTAATCGTCTTTGGAATTTTGGGTTCAATTCTCTCTCTCCCCTTAACCACGATTATCATATTAGCCTTAGTAATTTCGGTGATCGAAGAGAACTGTTATGGGATTGAGGCACTAGGAAAAGCTGGAAAGCTTGTTAACGGCCAGAGGGTGCAGTGTTTTATTCTGAATTTTCTCTTTCTGGCGTTTTCATGGATTTTATATCTGTGTTTAAGTATGGGGGAAAATGAGCAACTACTCTCAACCCAAATGATACTGGTCGGGTTGTTTCGAATGCATTCCCTTCATCTGGTGTACATGTTAGAGTTCATAGCATTCACTGTGCTATACTTCCACTGTAAGAAGAGCCATGGTGAAGAGATTGAAATGCAGTGGTGCACTGAGTACAGTAAGATATCTGCTGTACCACTTGATAATGATACGCCCTGAAGAACAAAGAATGATGTCTTCGTAAGTGGGATAAGATTGCTTGGACTCTCTTCAACTTTTCGGATGGCGGGTGTCTTATATACTGCACTGTTTGCGTTTTTAATTTTCTTTTACACTACGATAGTATGTGAACATGTTGGATATATGTAACCACATATTTTGTTATCCATTTGTGTTGCACTTTCTTCACCTGTTTCATTCTGAGTGTGTTTGTTGTGTGTTTTAACTCTTACATGTTTTTCTCCCACTTGGTACAACCATTGCTCAATGAAATACTAACATTTGTTACATGAAACAATTTTAAAATTGTACAGACTAAAGGCAAGTGTATGGATCGGACAACCTTTTGGTTGGTTGGGGGAGGGGGGGGGGGGGTGTTGGCTATGATGGAACCAACTCACCTACTCTAGGTTGACTATTGAAGGCCTGGGTTACAATTCTTCTTGACCACATTAATTTCTTTTAGAATTCCAAACTTCACTTGCAAAGAATGACCAGAAACACTGAAGTAGATATGAGTTTCTCCTCAAAATGTGTGAATAAATAGACGAGAGGCAAGGGTTAAACATGGCATGTACCTTTGTTAATTAGCTTAGACTGAGTCTAGCCTTTATGACTTAATTATAACCAAAGATTTAAATCATGAACAGTCTGTAGGCACAAATCTAGATCTTCTCCATTATACTTTTACTTATCTACTATTAATGTGTATGAGATCCACCTTTTATTAGTTAGCCTATCACCAATACACATTTATTTAAAAAATTAGTTAAAAAGCATTAAGCAGCATATAAAATTTATTGAAAAACATAACGATAAAATGTAAAACTGGTGAGCCTGCAAACTGAGAATGGTTTCAAATCGGCAAGAATTTACTCATCATTTTTGCTAAACAAGTTTAGGAATAGGCCAAAGGGGCATCACATTCCGATTCAATTTATGGAGTGTATGGATTGTTATTTTTGACTGATTAACTAAATCCAATTATATTATATCATATTTCATGTATTTAGTTTTGGCTTTAGATATTTAATATTCAATTCTATTGTGACCCGATCCAAATTATACATGTGCAAAAATTCAATGATAATTGACGAAATTAAGTTGAAATTGATACATATATATGTAATTTGCTAAATTTTAGTTGATTTATTCCAATTAAACCAGTATTTCGAATCAGACCTTCAATTCATAGTGGATTCATGAATGAGATTCAGATTCAAGTTTTCATATCAAGTTCAAATTAGAATCGATCAAACTCCGATTCGAATCTAACTGCAGTTTAACAAGAATGCAGCAAGTATAGAAAAAAGATTTTTCCTAACTAACAGACAGGCTGATTCATACACATACAGGAGAAGAAACCAATGTTACAAATTCTCACAAATGGGTGATATCATATGGCTACCCTTATTCATATCACATAGGACTTAACTAAGCTTCACCTGAATGAATGGCAACATAGAGACCTTGTTCTCCTTCATCCCCTACCTTCTCATGGCTCTTTCTGCATTCATGGTAGAAGACTGTGAACACCACAAACATGGAGATTTTCGCCAGGCAAAGTGCCCAAATCCTGGTGACCCTGATGGCCAGCCTCATCCAATCTACTTTATCTCTTTCCCATCTGGACCAAAGAAATTACATAGACTGTGCCACTAGCAAAAACAAAAAGAAGCATCAGTACACAACCCTGAAGCTTTTTCCCTTTCATGATCTCTGTAGCTCTGTCAATGGCTTTTAGGCCACCCGAATCGTTCTCCACAATCGAAACCACTACACTCAATAAAAAAACAGCAGCCACATAAACATCACAAACTGCCCCTAAAATTGCCACCACAATATTAAGAAGAATCAATAAAAAACCATTCGTGATTGCTGAAAATACCCCAATAAAGATCAAGAAAAGAATTATGATCGACAAACTGATTAAAGTTGCGTAAAAGCTAGTGATTACTGGCCTTGTCCATCTTCTTCCAATCTTTAGAAACATGTCTTCAAGTGTTAGAACTTTTGCAGTGTAGGCTTCATAAGATGAGGAAATTGTAGCAACCGAGGAAATCACTAAAATGGTACAAGAGAAGACCAATATGAGTGATTCCAACAACAGGAAAAGGTGGGCATGTTCAATAATTCCTCTTTTTAAGGTTTTATTAGCGTCATCGATACTACGGTTCGTCTCCAGAATTGCCAACTTAGAAGATAAATCTGTAACTATGGGTGTCAATGCAAGATGGCCAAAAAATGCCAATACAGAGAAAGAAATGGAAACATAGACCATGATTGAGACCAAAAGCTTCCCATTTCTAGCACTGGTTCTGAGGGCTGCCCAGAGAATTCCCAGGGTGCCCAAGGAAGCCTGTGCTTTTTTGGTGGTTAATTTCTCCATTTGATTTGTTTTTTGGTTTGATGTGTTTATGACAACATTAGCTTATATCATGATTCTCAATAACGGTAACAGATTATGTAATGGTATTGATAATAGTGTACCGGGTATTACGTAGCAGTAACAAAAATCAGAGTCATGAAATTTGACAGTACATTCACCACTATCTGCAAAAATCAAAATTTTTTATATATTTAGACCAAAATAAAAAAATTCAATTGTTTTGTAATTTATAATAATTTTTTATTATATTCATGATTTTGGTATGCTAAATTACTTAATTAATCCAAATTTTTGGCAAATGAAAGAAAATTAGTCTAAGCAATTAATATCTGTTTATTTGAAAATTGTATTCAAAAAATGAAGTAGTCAAAATAACTGTTAGATTTAAATCATTGGGATAAAATAAAAATATTTTGCAATGCCAATAAAACATATTAGCTATAAAATTTGTGCAAAAAGGGCCCCACAACCTACAAATTTTTACTCTGTTTGACACTTGTAAAATTTATTCTATCTACTATACTAAGGTGTAATAGAATTAGAGTTCCGCATTACTGTTATGCAACAACCGTTACGCATCGTAATGACCGATTTTTAGAACCCTGACTTATATAGCAGTTAGTTTTGGCCAAGTATGTTTGTCACTTTTCAATTGATCAATCTTAGGTAGTAACAGTCAAACACAGGTCGATAATTTCTAAGCTGTATAAGACATAAGTTCTATCAGCTAGCTGTTTAAGAGTTGGAGCACATAGTAGCTTAATTGCTTGTTTGGGACATAAAAAACGAAGATTATCTATACTATTAATAATAGGAGATCAACAGTGTAATGTTTTCTCCCTTTATTGGTAGTTATAAAGAGTTAATTACAAATGTATTGGTAAATTAATATTTTATGTGTTTTTACCATTTGATCACCTAGAATTTTTTCTCTAATCACATTTAACTACTTACATTTATCTCTATTCTCATTTTCCACTTCATATTTTTCTCATTCTTCCTATCTGTACATGGGAACAGTATGTACATGACCCCTAGAGAGAAAAAACAAAGAAGAAGCCGGTTAGCAATTGATGATGCAGAATTGATTCATGTTTTATGGGATCTACAACACAGCATTGAATCTAGACAAAAATGCAGTGTTGATGGGGAACTTAGGGTCGGAAGTTCCAATGTTTTTGTCGACTCTATTGACAAATCCATTAATGATGAACCCAAAAAAAATGTATCACCTTGTTTGAAAAATTGGAGGGTGGCAAGTCTACCAAAATCTCAAGTGCAATGCTATGTGCACTAAATCACTAGGAACCGTGGGATTAGTGGGTTCTATCATGGATCCTACGGCTGCAATTGATTTGGTGCACAAATTTGGTAAACATAAAATTATCCAAATCTCAATTTCGTTAAGTAATTTAAACTAAGATTAATTATTTTTTACCTCCTTGTGGTTTTGGTTAGAAACATTTTACTTATTTGACGTTTAAAACTATGCATGCACATTATCCCCTTGTAGTTATGTTCTCTTTACAAAATTCATTAATTTTTTTACGAAAGTGGTCACATATCATTTTATTAGACAATATCATTTGGCTAATACGTAATTATTTTGTCAAAAATTTAACGGTCTATCTAAGTAGAGATCAAAATGACACGAATTGAATGTTTTATGAATCAAATTGACAAAATTGATATAATAAAGACTAAACTAACAAAATATGCATATTGTAAGGACCAAAAATACTAGTAACCCTTTATTATTTCTAACAAGTATGATACCAACTCACGACGGTTACCTTGCATTTATTTTGGCTAGTTCATCCTATTGTCTTTTATGTACAAGAAGAAAAACCAAAAAAAAAATAAATTGTAAATCAGAATTTTGGGCATACATTATCCTTGCTAGAAAATGTAATCGAAATTGCATGTGGATTAGCAGAATGGTATCCTTCGGGCCTCAGTACATAGAGTTGGTCATTTGGTTCCATCATAAGTCCTTTTCTTTGACACCAGAGTCAAACCTTTTGAAAGTAATGTACCATTTAGTAACAATTTTTTTAGGGTAAAGTAAAAAAAAATTTTGTCAAAAATAAAGACATATTTAAGTACTAATTTCATTATACCTCTTAACATTTCAGTATTATACAATTATAGAAGTTAAATTTATCGGAAGAGAGCAAACTCAAAAATGGAAAAAGAAACATTATAAAACAAAAAAAAAAAAGAAATCTAATTTTTTTTTCATGTGCTCTATGCACTTATATACCTCTATTCAAAACTTCATTCTACAATCTAAACATTGTTTCAAATGGTTGATGTTAGTAAGTCATTGTAAACTGGATATAATTATTTCAGATGGACGATGTTAGTGAGTTATTGTGTTCTGAATACAACCATTTTGCAGGAAAAATGAAAAAGCAAACAAATACAAAATTCAAACTATTTTAATAAGTGAATAATTTATTGGAGATGGCCGAGAAACCTTACAAGCGGAAATTACCATACAAACGGAAAGCAAATAATTTATTAGTGATGGCTGAGAAACTTTTGCTCCACCATTTCTTATATATATGTAAATCTCGTGCATTACATGGAGTGGACGCTAGTTAGTACATTATGAAAGAGATTACATTTGGGTCAAATTAGGTACGATAGTTTATTAAACCGAAAAAATAAAATATTAGTCCCTTTTTTCATGGTGTATCCTTATTATCAAGTAGTGTAGTTTTTATCATCATGTAGTCGGGGGCAGTGCTCCACTGCAATTCCATCTCTTCACCATGGTTCTTCTTACACCGGAAGTATACCACAGTATATGTCATGAATTGGAACATGTTCACCAAATATAGAGAATATATCCGAAACAACCCGATAAGTATTGTTGAAGTCCCAAGCAGTTCATCATTTTTCACTACCCTGAAACACTGGTACAAAATCAATGCCGCCACCATAAATAAAAGACTCAGAATAAAGCACTGCACCCTATTGCCCTTAACAAGCTTTCCAGCTTTTCCTAGTGCCTCAATTCCATAACAGTCCTCTTCCATCACCGAAATCACCAAGGCTAATACACAAATCGCGGTTAATGGGAGAGAGAGAATTGCACCCAAAATTGCAAAGATGATTACAATTGCTTTAGAGGCGATTAGATTATCAGAAATCATCAATATTGTTGGCGTTGTGACCATTAAAACTGAAATGTATCCTATTCCAAGAAGGGTAGTGTAAAAACCAGTGATGAATGGCCTTTTCCATGATCTTGCCACCTTCAAGACCAAATCCTTGATTGACATGGTCGTGCTGCAGTAAGAGGTGGCTGATATGAAAATGGTTGCGGTTGTAGTATATAGTGCAAGAGCTAAGGTAGCACAAATGAAAATATATTCGACTACTAGGAGGATTCCGAGATCATCTTTGACATGAGCCATCAGCGTGATCAAATCAGAGCCACCAGACACTACCTCAACCAAATCAAAGATCAAGGGTTTGACGGAGAAGATGTTCAAGAAGAAGAAAAGTGTGTAAAGGAGGAGGGAGAGTGTGGTTACGAAGGCCTTAAGCTTCCCATTTTTAGATAGCAGTGTGATGGATTCCCTCAGAATTCCCACAAAACTGAAAACCTCGTAGAATTCCATGGCTGTTCGAGCTTTTGAAATTCTCTCAATTGCTTAGCTCAATACAAAAAAATGAACTTATATAGGTGTTTATTTTGGCCAAATATGTTTGTCACTTTTCAATGGATCAATTCTAGGAATTAATAACAAAACACAGTGGTTGATAATTTTTAAGATGGATGAGACAAATAAGTCAATTGTATCATCTTAGTTGTATGAACTGAAGAACACAATGTTCAAGACGTAAAAAAAATAGAGATTACAGGAGGAAAACAACAAAGAAGAAGCCCCTTAACAACTGCCGATGCAGAATTGATTCATTTTTCATGGGAATTGGGATATACAATCACTGGCTTGAATCTAGACAAAACCATAGTGTTGACGGGGACTTTGGTCGGAAATCCCGATGTTTTGTTGTCAATTCTGTCAACTAATCCATTGTTGGGACTTTTTTCATAACCATGGAAAAGTATGCAGATGTATCCTGTAAGGAATAAAAAGGAAAAAAAATTGGGGGAGAAGAAAACGAGGTTGGAATATTCTAGAGCTTTTACCCCAACACATGGGTTTTAAAAAAAAAATACCCAAAAGAGGGTTATTTTAAAAATATTTCTCAAACCCAATTAATTTTAAAAACGTCAGTTGGAACGACGTTTTAACTAAAAATGTCAGACTAATTGACGTTTTTGTGCAATAGTGTAGTCTCAATGAAAACGTGGGTACAACTGGTGGTTTTTGTATTTCTTTTTGGGAGAATTACACTCCGACTTCTTAAAGTTTGTTATTTAATCACTTAAACCTTTGATATTTAAAATATTATATACAGACCCCCTAAATTTTGTACGCACGTAACATTAGAAAAAATTAAAAATTAGAAAAGGTCTCATTGAAGGTATGTCTATCTAAAGGGGGTGTGAATAAAGTTTTTTCTAAAACATATCATGGGTAATTTAATAAAATTGTATTCTAATTAACACATTTTATCTGACAATGGGTGACAGTGAAGATTTAGAAAATATAAAGAATATTCTTGAAGATATGATAAATTAGAAGGAACGTAACTAAAATTTTTCCTTCAATTTTATTTTTTCTAACTATGGAAAAGAATGTAGATGTATCTTCTAAGGAGTAAAACAAAAAAATAAATAAGGAGGGGAAAGAAAATGAGGTTGGAATCCACAGTCGCCTCCGGGGCGAGAATGAACCTTATCACTGAGCCACTCTCTTACCTCGTGAAAACAAAAAGAATAGACTCCAATGTGTAGGCTCTTAAACAAGTGCTCTTGGAACCAAAAAAAAAGTGTCATCTTGCTGCAAACAAATGGAGGGAGCCCACTGGCAAGTCTATCAAAAGCTTTATTAAAGCAGAAGATTTACAAAAATATTATG